CTCCTAATTTATTCGAAATGTCTGGCGATGACGTAGTTCCGTCAAGTAGCCGGCTTTCGTGACTGCCCTTTTGAAGAAGTATAAACTAAGTTCGCTTTTCCAGTCTCCAAATTCTCGTGAAGAGAAATCGCAGACGTTGTGATTTCTGAGGGTCTCAGAACCAGTAAGCATCCAGGAAAATGAGCTACTTCCCATCAAGGAAAAAGAAGTGAAAGGCTGAACTTGTCCCTTTTGTGGCGCATATTGTGGCGAGGCGACGGAATAACAAATTGTGGGATAGGGTATCGCTAGGAGGGGAAAAAAGCTTGCATTGGCTGTGTGACGTTCGTCTGTTACTAAAATAGGCGACATCGAGAATATGCGTTCCGGAAAAGTGAGACGACCATAGAAAAACTTGCAGCAGATGCAATGAAATGTCTGCAGATGAAATGAAGCTTCATGTTTTTCCTGAAATGCCTTTTCCAGCAAATCACGTACCGACTCTTTAGCTAGACCACTTCATGATTCACCCGAAAGGCAATAGGCAATTACTTTAGTAGGTGTCCTCTAGCGATAGAAGCAGTACGAGGCATTTTTGCGCGAGAAGCTCCCTGGAATCCCATGAGCTACACCCTTGAACGAGTTTACACCTTCTGTCCTCCCCAATTCCCCTTCTATGCTACCGCCTCATTTAGTTTCTCCTAGTGTCGTCTGCGCTCTCCTATACCAAGCAGTTACTGTTCTCTTCTCCAGAACATAGGGGTACAGGTAGGAAAGCTCGTCTTGCAGCTGGTTCAGTGCTTAAGAGTAACTGCCAACGGTTATTCCGCAGGTTCTCGAATATTTTTTATTTCTCCGGAACTGCCTATCTTAATTTCCACCTTTACCTGCCATAACAACAGATTACTGCGCCATCTATTTTACTAATGGCGAAGGTAAAGCTGTTCAAGTAAATTGAGCTATAAAATACATCTATGAATCAAGTTGTAGCCCGTTTTTTCGGCCGTGAAACCCAGCACCGCATCTGCCTTCAGACCGATACACCAAATCATGACATTAGGTAGCCATTAGCACCCATGGGGGCCCTTAAAACAGAAATTTTGTACTCTGGGTTTGAGTAGTAATACCAGTTTCCATTCATTCCTTGAAAATATAACAACGGCTTCCGATATGTTATTGGGTACAACTTCCTTAAAAGTGCAGGGAACTTTTCGTACGATTCCTCCCGTTTTAACAGCATGCTTCTGGGCTGTTCTGACGACTGTCCACGCTACGCAGGGGAGGCAATTTGGCTCTTTTCACCGACTCGTGCGTTCTCAGGCACCAGTTTGTGGCTGCGGTAATGCGTTTTGCCTATAAATCGATCTCTTGTATTGGCTTTCGCATCAGGAACAGCTGGAAAAAAAAACGGTATCCGATGGGATATAGCCAAATGATATTCTGTAAACTTGCCAGAAGAAACATCATCCAACTACACCGTTAAAGTACTCTTCAAGTTAATCAGGTGGTAGGTGGGGATAACCCGTGGAAGGCTATCGACAACGGCAGAGGGCTTAAATCTGACTCACAGCTCAGCCTTCTCAATGAGTGATTTACATTGGCTTTCAAGCTCATGTTCGATAGATTAGCAGCTATTTATATGTTTTTCTTCATTTTCCACTTGAATAGATAACTCGGTTCATTAAGAACGTTGAAAGCCACCTAATCGTATAATTATATCAGATCGAATTGATAGTCGTTACGCTAGCACCAATACGAATTTTAGAAGGGAAAACGAAAAGAACTAATCTGCTGGTTAACATCCTTCAACTTTCATTTGGCAAATTACCTCTCGGCTGCCGAAAGACTAAAATGTGAAAAAGCGATCGATATTTTTTGTTACACCATCTTTACGAGGCGCATTCGTTGGCGTCAGTCATTCACAGCTACTGAATGACTGACATTGACGTTAGTCTCGACTTGGGATTTCTTTTAAGATCGATCCCAGCTTGGGTCCGTTAGGTTTTTCATCCTTTTGAGGTCGCTTGGAGGGTGCTATGTTTGTCTGGAATAGGAAATTCTTGTCATTCGGACAAAAGCACAACATTTGCTCCTTCTTCTCGATTTCGAATGGAATCCGGATATGTGGCTCATCTTGACTGGGGGAGCAGTATTTGCTTGAATAGAAAATGATTCCTAAAACCTTTTTTGAGGTAAAAATCCGAATGTTTCGGTTTTTTTTGTGAGGAACATCGATTTTCTATCATTGATAAGTTGTTTTAATCCTTTGTGTTTGGGTCCATGAGGGATTCTTTCCATAATGCAAGAGTGGACACTTCCGTTTGCACCAGAAAGAGATTGATAGGAAGAGGAAAAGAAAATTCATCTGAATGGGCATGTGACGCAATTGTTTCTAGGCAATTTCAAGGAGGCTAGTGATTGAAGGGTACTTCAGCGTTGGACATTTCCGGCGGCTGCAAAGTAGGAGCGAAAAGCGCTTCTCTCGAACTTCATCCCCGTTTTTCACTCTCGCTTGAAGTGCTCAAGTGAGACTAGGAAGAGGGTCTTAGCAAAGACAGAGAGTGGTTTTTGATCCAGTTCCCCTTAATGACATAATTATGCGATTGCTAGAAAGGTCTTCAAAAAATACAGAAGTGGTTATGGGAGATTTTTGAGTAGGCAGCAATATTGCTTCAATATTATGAGTCTGTTAAAAATGGACTGGGTACTGGCTGGCGATGGAATGTCGTAGTAGTGTACTTATTTATTTGTTTGTTTACTGCATCTGAACCCTCATGTATGAGGCGAAACTCTTCCGAAGCAATGGTGTGGGTTTCCACATCGTCACGTGTTGTAACCCTCCATAACCTACCAAGCAAATCTACCATGCGACCCTCGTTAGGTATTTCAAAAAAGAGAATATTTTCAATGACGACTAGAAGCTTGCGCTTTCTTGTATCCTTTCTTTCGCCGACCTGTTTTAAAGAAAAGTTTTAAGTGCTCATGTNACTGAATCCTTAATGGGTTAAGTGGAAATTACTGTCTGAAGAAGTTGAGCTCAGTACTATGTTGGTGTGTACTTCTGTGCTGTATGAATTCAGTACTATTCAGTACGGTTGAGTTTTGTGAAAGCTTCATATTAGTCCGATAAATCTCTCAGCTGGAATTACCTAGGGAAGAACTCATAAATAATTCCTGTGTAAGTGGTTTGAGCGGTGATTTCTAATTTCAATTTCTTTGTTTTAGAATGAGGACGCAGGACGAGAGGCAACCGGTGCCACAACGGAAGAGATGAGGGACAGTGTGGAAGAGGAGTGCCCTGAGAAACAGGAAAAAACGCCCGAAGAGATGGCTCGCCTCAAGCGGCAGTGAGTTCCCCCTTTTGTGATGAATTTCTGAGATATTGATTTCGCCTAAACACCGAGAACACCGAATTATGGTAACGGAAAAAACGCTCAACTATCCCGGTGTTCATCTTCCACTTGGAATTTAAGTGGCTCTTCGAATGTGCATTGGGCTCCCGCTAGCAGATGGTACCAATTAGGCGCTTCTGAAAGTATGAAGGGTTCGACTTGCCTTGTTGATGGGATTTCAATCTTGGGCTAGGCGTACGGTAGCTACTCCAATTTACAGTACCAAACTTTTCTTTACAATAAGTTTGCCCACGTCGATGACCCACATAAGGATTAAGATATCCAGCATATACGAAGCCACAAAGATCGCTCTCATGTCATACGGTCGGTATCCCAAGGAAGGGCCCCTTATGTGGAAGGGTACCATCTTTTGAAAGTTCTGAGTTCGTCAGACTCTACAGGTTTCAATTTTCTGGGCGTGAAAGTTTAAATTAAGGTTGCGATGGCAGTTTGGTGATCTCCTCGTTTTGAAGTTCCAGCTCTGAAACATATGAGCTTTGGCTATCTGCTCGCATATTCCCCACAAAACGGGTTTTTCGAGGGGGAATGTTGGAAGTGGAACAGCTGAAGCTTCATGAATAGCGCTAAAAACAGCAGCTTGGGAGCATAGGACAACAGCAATACATCATCAAGTTCAAAACTTAATTGCTAAAACTCACTCCATCAAATTTGACCGACAGCTTTCATGTTGGCTCTCAAAAGTTCATTTTTAAGACAGGGTACCACTTTTGTGGGTAGTGGAATGGAAATTGCATGAAGAAGGTTCTTTTTAAATAGCACTGCAGAATTACAGGAATGATTATTTTTCTTTCAAAGAAGTTCTCTCTACACTTCTAGTTCACTTTTGAAAGGTTGAAAAGTCCTTTAAAAATTAGTTCAAGTTGACTAACCTTTTTTGGCTTTTTTCTCTTGTGAATCCATTCATCGAGTAATTTGCTTTTGTCTGGGTGAAATCAGTGGCAAGGTGTTGAGGGAGATAGTTCTTACAATAGTCGATTCCTTTGAAACATTTCACCATTGGACCTCCTTTCCGAGATAGCCGGAGGCATTTGAGGGCTATTTTGCTTGCTTAGAAGATTGTGCAAGAATTGGTCTTGACAATTATAATGCCACTTTACCCGGATAAAATCGCCCAGAAACACAGATGGGAAATTTCAAGTGATCCAAAATAAGCTGGAATAGGTTCACAAGTCCTGTTCTGCATATGGTAGCCACAGCCTTTGTGTTTACATCACATTCATGCCGTAATATTTATGTGTTCGGGAAAGGGAGACGTTATTGGTGATTTATGGAATATGATAGCTGAAGAAGGAATAATCGCTTGCTTATTAGTAATAAATAATGCCTAGAAATTCGATATTCCATATATTATGGGGCAAACATAAAAATTTTATGAGGAACGTGGGTGTATATGAGATATCGGACATAATCAACCACCACAGATTGGGCTTCTAAGGCGGAATTTTTGGAGTCGTCAAAATAGGGTTTATAGGAAAGGATGTAGGCATCCCTGGACTATCGGGGATCGACTCACTGAGAGAGAAAAAGTACTCTAATCCTGCTCTTTGTTGGACTTGTCAGTTTTCAGTTTTGTTCTTAGAAATTTAGTCGGGAAGGATAGTCTTGGAGATGAGGGCAATTTACTTGAGCTCTATACGACGTGCAAACGTCAGATCTCAGTGGGACTTTCAACCCCAATGAATTACCTTGGGTGAAGATGTAAGCTTTTGATCCAGTGGTCATATACCAGAACTCTAAATCATTCGCACAAGTTCAACGTCAGTAGGGATTTAAGTCCGCAACACCACCAAGGCCATTGCGGACCACTGCCCCCTCCCGGACTTCCAATAGTTGAAACTCGATTATAAGATCTTGTAGATAGGGGAAGGCCCAAGCGGCACGGAAAATTGGAATTCAAGCTGAAAACACTCCTTCCTGTTTATTTTAATTGCCTTTTTTGAAAACAACTATAAACCTGAAAAAGAAAAAATCTTATTTTCCAGATATGTGTTAATGGAATTGGTGGAGACGGAAAAGGATTATGTAAGAGATCTGTCGTCAGTGGTAGACGGTTATATAGCGAATCTCGAGCGAATGGAATTACCAGCGGATCTTGTTGGAAAGGACAAAATCATATTCGCAAATATCGCACAGATTTTGGAGTTTCATAAAAAGTTAGTTTTTTTAACTGTTCGGAACTGATGAAGTATGAAATGGCTGATGAAACTGATAATGTCATTTTTTCAGCAGTTTTTTGAAGGAAATTGAAAAGTGCCTTGATAACTACGAAGTCGCTGGAAGTGCCTTTGTCAAATATGTGAGTGCTATTTCCCTGAAGAGTTGTTCATTGTATTCTCTAGATATATTTGATTGAAAAGTGGAAATTTCTCATCTTGAGATTCATTGACACCAAGATTGTCTTGTGAAAAAAAGTGCGTGGGTGTTTTAAAATGATGCTGGCGAAGGATGTGGGCGGATAGCGGATTCATTCGCCAAAATTGGATGGCTAATGGGATAGAAATTTCTGAATATTTCATTCGAGACCTGGTCTCCGGGTTCCTTGTACGTATGGGACTGATTGAAAGTTTAGTAATGACCAGTACTAGATGTGAGCCCTAGTTTTTGGAAAGAAAAAGGGCTTTCAAACTGCTTGGCCTACTTTTGAAAGTTTAGTTTCGGCCCCGTAAAGCTCTATTTTGACAATTCGAAGAAAACCATGCGAATNATTCGCATGGTTTTCTTCGAATTGTCAAAATAGAGCTTTACGGGGCCGAGGAGGAATTTCGCGAGGGGGAAATCGAAAGGAGAGTTGTGCTTTGCTACCTATTCTAATTAACTAACTTTTTTCATGTGTTGTAATTTTCTAGAAAGGAAGACTGGAGACGATGTATGTGCGATATTGCCAGAACAAGCCAAAATCAGATTATCTCGTTTCTCAGGAAGATTTTGAACAGGTGAGGCACTCAAGAGTATTTATAGATTTTACCTGGTACTTAATGGGATATGTGTGACCTGTCTTTTGGTTCCGTCAGTGTGAAGGTTTTGGCGAACGTCCTGGGAATTTCGATGATGCAAAACTTTTTTCACTTTGGCAAGAATTCGGAATTTCGTAGAGAATGTTCTGAAAATCCAATTTTCTTTTTTTGACAGTATTACATGTCTTTGGTTATGTACATAGCTGTGTATCTGACTATGTCTATGGGCAAAAACTCGCTGCTCTGTCTCTGTTGTTGACACTCTGCAAATTGATTCTAAATTATACGAATGAGAATAAGTGGATAGCTAGCTGACTAGCTGCATTCATTCATTCACAATAGTGATAGAACAACTACAAATGAGCAAATATTCGTCATCTAATAGTTGTTGGAAACGTCGCAGTAATTTAACTCCTCCTAAAGTAGTGAAAAAGTAATCTGATTCAGTGAATCATCTGGTGGATCCAGATGAATCGGAAGATTAGGGTATGTTCTGGGAATAGGAGCGGGTAGATTAATCTGTGGTTATGTAAGCTATTTATCTTACGAGAGGATAATCCTTGTCCAGTATCTAGTAGCTAGAGTTCAGCTCAGAACATCTTCAGAAGGATATGGGAGTAAAGCTGACAGAGAAGGACATTCTCGGCAAAGGGATGGTACCACTGATGAAGAGAAGCTTCCTGCCCAGGCCTGATACCCACAGGTGGCTCCTGTTAGAAATATGGCAGGTGGCTGACAAAAAGGTGATTTCCTGCAAGCCCAGCCCTGGCTCTTACCAGTTAGTACCGATACTGGTTACTGGCAAGTTATGCTATGGTATCAGAAAAGAGGTGCATAAGGTTTAGGAATAGTGGCACTGAAGTCAGCTAAGGTGTCCAAAGCTTTGATTATGTGAAATAAATGATGTACATGTTCGACAGATTGCTGGCTGTGCAGAGATGATGGAAAAAATAAAAAAATGGTGTTTTTAGGATTTTATCTGCGCTTTTTTGACTTTTGTTGTTCACTTGTTAGTGCTTTTTCATGGCCCTCCGATGCAATCCCCACTAGGCAATCGTGTTCTTACTGCAATTATTTTGCGACGGACTTAATAGGATTTCAATGTGGGAACGACTTTGAAATACTAAATGCACGGTTTGTCAGGGATTTGATGAAGGAGCACGAGTTTGAAGAGATGTTCTATACATTCTTGATGAAGAAAGGGCTTTTGCTAGCGCAACGAAGTTGTTTTTGTTCTATTCAGGCGAAAATCTCAAGTGCGAACATTCGAAATCCGCTGTACTTTTTGTGAGAAAATCGGAGCGCCCTCATTGAAATTCGATTTCTCTTTGAATTTTCCCCGGACTCTTTGTATAAGAAGTTCAGAGTGGATTTCCGAGAAACGTATTAAGGGCGAAGGGCGAGGGAAACACGAAAAATGGATGCAGTTAACCTAGTTTGGAAAACCGATACAGGGGTGTATATTGGAGCCGACGTTGGAAAACATGCTTTCCAATCTATTGTCCTGTTGCTCTCCAAGGAGGTCTATCAGACTAAGGACACTAAGAAAGTACCGAGCCCGGGTCAGCTGTTTTGAACTGAGCCGGCTTCTGCCCATGATAGCAGGAGGGTTTGCTGGCATATTCTGCTTACAAGGAAGCCTCTGGAGGCCATCAGGCCTATGGTGTTTTGAAGCGAGTATAATTCAGCTGAGAAATACCCAATTAGTTGTTCCTTCTACTCAGAGAAAAGAGGATTTCGTGATGTTCACGTTGCAAATTACCCGTCGATTGAAGTTTACAAACGGGAGTTCGCCCAGTCATTCAATCAAGTCAACTTGGAATTCATTTAATTTTTGGGTGGTAGCTGAAATTTTCTAAGACATTCTGATCATTGGAGAGTCACCATGAAATATGTCGTACGATCTTTTGGGCTTAAGTTTGCAGCTGCAAGCGCTCTGAGGGAACAGAAATAGAAACATATGGGGCCTTATGGAACTATTTTGCTGCTGCCATTACTTTTTCATATCGTCAAACCAGTATGCGCTCATATCTACTACATTCAGAACATCTGCCATCAATGAGACGGGGTCGAATACCGAATTTTGAGAAAGTTAAGAAGAATGGGGAATGAAAATAATATTGCAATCAAATTTTTCACATAGGTGCATGGATATAGTAGTCGAAATAATTATGGTACATTTATGTCAATTTGCGTACTGTTACTTGTTAATCGAACTCGTATAGGTTTATAGATTCCATGGAGGGTGAGATACGGGTGAGTGAGTGGGGGTTTAGGGAAAATCCTAGACTCGCTCCTTATTAATTTGCGAAAATTTCCACGTTATCCTGAACACACACTGCTTTTGAGACAAGTTAAAAAGAAATGAAAATGGGTTCAAGTTTGGCACGTCCCTACGCTAATCATTGGTGTCCAGATCGAGTTTTCAGTTTACATATGAAGAAGAGGTGGGGATACATGCCCGGGGATGCCGAGCTTCTTTCCGTCTAATCTGTTTTTTCTTTTCTCCGAACTGTTCCTTAACGTTTTACAATGCGATGGTCTTTGAAACGAGCTCACAATGCATTGTGCTTGTGCGTCATAAAGGTAATTGTTTCCAGGGAGATGATTCCGATTCCTCATAGATGTTTTTAGTTCAGTAGAAGAAGAGGTTTGTGCAGCTTCAGCAGCGAACAGGGAAAGGCAGAAACACCATTCAATCTTTTGTCGTTTTTTATCATCGAGGGAATATTTAATAGCTCCCTAGGGGCCTTAGACATAACAAAAAGAGACGCAATGACGTTGGTTAATAAATCTCGTCGTCATTTGTCGCTGTTGGATTTTTGATGGATTGTGGGGTCTAGCAGGATTACCTATTTATAGACAAGTCTCATTTTTCAAAATTATTACTTTCAGTTCTTCGCAGAAACGAAAGCGAAACTAGGACATAAAGTGGCATTGAGCGATCTACTTATCAAGCCTGTACAGCGTATAATGAAATATCAGCTACTTCTCAAGGATATTCTGAAGTTCACCGAAAGAGCCAAAGACAAGACGGATATGCTGAAGAAAGCGCTTGTGGTGGGTTTTTTCACCTTGAAAGGTCTAATGCCCTTTTTTTTCTTATTTACTCGTGGGCCAAATGGTGACTGGGGAGTTTCTAAGCTACTTTGGGAAGGTATTTGTGATCTAACTAGCAAACTGTGATCTTGATAATTTGATGAGATAAGTAACGAAGATCTAAGCACAGGTAATCTGGGCACAAAGGCATTGTAACAGAAGTGTGGGAGTGAAAAAGGAATCAAGCGGGGTGAGGAACCGGTTACGGTTACCCAGGTTACAGTACTCAAGCTTACAGTTTTTTTAGCGTCTTAGTTAACTGGAATTGACCTAATCGGCGAGTGGAGCACTAGAGGTAGCTGCTGTAGGCATCATTGCGTCGGGATGATTGGTAGACTTATTACCAAGCCACAGAATACTCAGTAGGGAGGATAAGAGGTGCAGAGAGAATCCTGTTGACCAGTTTCAGCAGTGTAAAAGTTTAGTTCTGGGAAGAGATGGTTGATTTGAAACTTTGGGGTAAAAATTGTAAAATATCTGGTCACCTTTGCTTCGAATTCTTTCTGTCCAGAAATTTTTTTTTAGGTGATGCATGTGGTACCAAAAGCATGCGATGATATGATGCAAGTTGGGCGACTTCAGAATTTCGATGGAAGCTTGAACGCTCAAGGAAAACTTCTCTATCAAGTGAGTTTTCTAGTCATGTTTCAAAGTTTATGATTTGTTGTTTCCCATTGTTCAGGCTTTTTGTAGGTGGGATTTTCACATTAGCTATACCTATAAAACACTACTTCCAGGGAACTCTTCCCATTTCGGATAGTCAAGGTGGAACATCGCAGAAATCCAAGGATCGTCGTATTTTCCTCTTTGAACAATCAGTCATTATTGCTGATCATATACCACCAAAGAAGGAATTCGGCAATCCAATCTACATATTTAAAAATCAAATCATGGTAAGTGGTATTACCGTTTTATTAGGGACAATACTTCTTAATACCACCTAGAATGGCTCCAACATCTTTGTTTGATGAAGCGTTTTGTTTTTTCGCTACAGCTGACCAGGCTGGGATTTCGTTCTTCTCCCTTAAATTGAGTTTGTTTGAAAAAAGGCGATTTTTTAAAAGCAATGGGCGTTTTGGGGTGTTTGCAATCGATAAATCGATTCGCTTTTTTATAATGACTGATGTTATTCATCGTTTGTTCGGGACATAACATCACATGTAATCTACAACAGCTCTACAAAGTACATTCATGTGTCTAATAGTAGTTTCAGAAAGTCGTTGTGAAACAAGCATTCAATACATCGACTTTTTGGTGGCAAACTATACCTGTTTAGGTAAACAAAATGCTGTTCGAGCCGTCGGTTCCTGATGATCCACTGAAGTTCATCATTCGCAGTTCGGATCCAGCTCAACCGACAGCATTTATTGCTACTGCACAGACTCAAGAAGAGAAGGTAGAATTATTGTGTTCATTACTCAGTTACACTGGCCTATTGATAAGTTCGAGCCCGCCGTATGAATCCCGTAATGATTTCAGAACGAATGGGTTCGGTACATCAGTGAACAACTTGATCAACAGAAACGTATGTTGGCGGCATTGGTGGATCCACGACGATTTATGGGTGGTGCAACAGATGATTTGAGTGGATCGATGGCTGGCATGGGATTGTAAGTGCAATAAATTGTTTGATACACGATTTACATAATTGCTTTAATATTTCTTAAATAAGGAGGATATAGTTCCACTGTGGGAGCTTTTTGTCCCAGATAAGCGAAATCGTAGTCTCATATTGGTTGTCAAAGCATGGGATCAATTTATGTCCTTGCTTTGTTAACCTTTAGAATAAAAAATAAGGTTTCGACGTTTATCGATCCCGTTTTGAGTGCACCGTGCAAAAGATTTTCATGAAAATTCGTAGTACTGCTTGGTACTGTTTTGCTTAGCTTTACACAATGCATTTGATATGAATTTATTGGTTTTCTTCTTATGTATAATCACAGTCAAAGAATCGCTTACGTTCGTTTCAGAGGAGGTGACGGAAAGAAATCTCCAGGAGGAGGTAGTGGAGGTGGAGGCGGAACAGGATCGTCACGACATAATGCCAATAGTGGTTCGTCGAAAGGTGGCTCTGGTTCGAAGCCGGATTCACCGAAAAAGGAGAGCAAAGGCACAAAACTGTTCGGTTTTGGCAAAAAAGCATCCGCTAAGTCACCCACCTCACCACCACCGGTAGGCAAATTGAAGTAGACATGCGTGTTGGTGTGTTGACGAACATTCACATACTCTCTCCTTATTCTTCGTTACCGTGAACTGTTTGCTAATCTTCTGCCAGTCACATCATCATCATCATCATCATCACCGTCATAATCATAACTATCCTAGTCTTGGCCATATCGTCACTACTTGATCCGTGGACGTTTTCATGTATGTGACGTCTCGTTCAACGTTTATAGTCTTCAGCTTTGTTATTTGGCCATCCCTGTGTTATGCCCCGCCCAGTTCCATGTAGAGCCGCCCCACCGCCTCCTGTGTACCCGAGTTATTCGTCACTATCAGCATTATCATCGTTATCGCGAGCCCAGTGTACCAGTGCTAGTGCCCGATTTATGTTCATCAATAGGCCTTGATGTATATACTAATCGCTTGCGCCCAGCCTAAATATGTCGATCCCACTGTTTGTTTATTTTTCCCTTTTACCATACGTCATATTTCGATTTTCGATTCATCCGGCAGCGAAAACTGAGAGCGAACTTGTAGATATCAATATCCAATCAGGTTCCATACTGTACAGTACAGTAAGATAGTAAATACAGTAACTTCTAGTTAATTCGTAGCAGCAGCAGCTCAGCTGATGTTATCGGGCCTCAGTTTCCGTCCCCGGTGCCCAATATACGGTTAGCGTCGTTTGCTCCTAAGAGATGCGTATAGAGTAGTGAGACCCAGACACATAATACCCACACCCACACATAAGGTTTTAGTCATTTATTATTATATACAATTCATCCTATTCATTCGTTCATCATTCGCCGTTCATCCCCTATTGATTTTACTGATATGTTGTTTTATTATCATCGATTGATACGTGATCCCATGCTCCGTGATCATCCCTTTTCACCACCCTCCACACCCACCCTACCCCTTCGAACCATCCGTCATATACAATCCAGATTTCTACTGATTACCATAACACCCTCCCCNCCCCATGTTCTTCTCCCATCCCCTCCATACTAATCTCTTCTTCACCGAAAAAATATACACCGAATTCGAATAGCGTTGTATACGAGATTTGTCTTTTGAATTTCTGGTGTTCCTTTTTACGAATATGTGTTCTGATGATGCTTCTGAGTTCATTATCATTATCATCATGATTAATGTGTGTTTTTTCGTTTTGAAAATATTGTGATCTCTCTCAGACAGTTCATAATCTAATAAAGGTCCTCGCTTTGGTTGTGTATTCTGTTCTATTTTTCGAATATCGACTTATCTACCGGAAATCTGGTTTTTTGCTTTGAGTTTTCAGTTAGATTGAAATAGAATCCACTTCCCGAGCTGGGGACGAGGTGTGAGTGATGTGGCTATTTGTGCAATGCGGTGTTTCAATAACAGTTTAACAGAGTGGATTCCTTATGGATTTGAATTTGAAGGCCTATGGTCAAGTGGCTAAAGGCGCCTCATGCTCGCGAACGAGTTACTGGTTTGATTTGCAACTAGAGGAAGTAATACTCTTAAGATTTAGCTGGGCAAATAGAGTCATAGCTAGCTTTGGCAAGTCTGCGAGCTCTCCAAAAAGGATATCTATGAGAGTAAAGGTGGCAGGATTTGGTGAAAATACTCTGAGGACATGGCTTAATTCGGCGGCAGATATTTTTCGGTCAAAACCAACTTGGACCAGTAGGAAGAGGCGAAGTAATGTGTCGGCAGAATTCACTGGATCGAACTCCTTCGGAACTAATTAGGCCCTACACCCATGTCCATATTATTCTGATGGGAAATTGTTCATATCTATGTCCAAGACTGTCATTTAGGTTTTTTTTATTCTCTAAATTCAAATTTTATATGTGGCCCTGTTCTGTATTGCATTTTGTCCATTTCTGAACGCTAACCAGCTTTTTGTGAAGTATTTATGCTCCCAGTATCTCAAGCGACTTCGTCTGAGGGTCGGGTTTTTTGGGTGGTCACAGCGGTTTCAGCATAATTTATTGGAAACAACAGAGCGATCGTTAATGTGGCCTACATGTGTGACAGTTCTTTCAAATGGCGTTCCATCACTGAATGTTTAGGGAGTCTTGATGGGTGCAACTCAATCTCTGCACTTTTTTCAACACCTTCGAGTGCTTTCTGTCAAGCACCGCTGACTTAAACAAACGACTTAGAAAATGCGATAGAAACGGCACCGAGGGAGCGAGATAAGGGGGGGGGGGGAACTCAGCTGTGTCAGTCAAAGTGGTATTGATTTGTTTGGACATTTTAGAAAGAATGAAAATGTGGAGGGGGATTTGCGTTGTTTCGGGGTGGTACCTTGTCCAAAATTATGCCTAATAACAAGAAGAGATGTAGTCCTACCTAAGGCGAGCTAAAGAAAAAGATTTCGCCCCTAGCTCTTCCATTCCCTTTCAGCCATTCGCATCCAACTACTTTTCGGTAAGAATCTGCATCAGTAGGGGTTAACCCGATTGATTGCGACTGCAATTCATTTGAATTTCTTCAATTTGTTTTTGTTTTACATCCTATCGCTGAATAGTTCAGGTGCTCTTGTACCATATACTTTTCGATCGTCCATTGGGCCATACCCCCTTTACTTGTTACTTGAGTCCCGACACTTATTGAAGTTTCTGGATGCTGATCGGGGCTGGCATCTGGGCGAGAAGCTGCTCAGCAATCTATCTTTTACGTCCTATTCCTGTACGGCTGTAATTACTGAAATTTCGACAGACCGGCTCATGTATCATGAGAGCCAGGCTGCGCGAGTACGTAGGTTACTTCTGCCTCAGAAGTACTGTTTATTGGGTTTGGAGCTCATTCGAAGATGACTGATGTCAGTGCGGCCCATTGGTGTTGCCCCGCCCATCCAAAAATGAGAGGAAAAAGTCAAAATAAATTTTCGGTTCATAGAATGCAAATATTCTACTCATGCTTACTACGAGGGTTGCCTTTTATATTTCGGACTCTATCGTAAAGTTTGACCCTTCGAGGTTGTACGTACCTAGAAAAACCTAACTTGAAAGATTTATTTAGGCCTAGAAATGGAATTAAATCGTGAACATTTTCGTGCGGTTATATTTATACAACTTTCAACGTGTATCAACTCAACAACAGTGCATGGAAGAACTTATTTCAATTTTTGGCGATAAAGGACTACTGTTTATCGATGGTAGGGTGAACTCATCCGATATCGTAGTTCACTCCAAAATGACTTTCGTGGAGGTCGTCAAAATCAGTTGTTGTTCCGATGCTGTGCGCAAACTAATATTGCAAGATCGTCATGTGACCTATCGTGAGATTGAGAAAACCTTAGGCATTGTGGGACTAGCATACATTCGATATTGCATGAACACTTGACTGTCAAAAAAATTAGTTTGAAAAAAACCCTTCACCACGACAATGCGCGCTCTCACACATCGGCTCAAACAACTGCGTTTTTGAGCACTCAAAACATCGATTTGATGAGCAATCCATCATATAGCCCTGGCTTTGGCACTGAATGACTTCTTTTTATTCCCGTCCGTAAAAAATTAAATGAGAGATAAACTTTTTCGACTCCTGAAAAAGCGGCTGATGCGTTCAGAATGCATGTTTGGAGATACCTCAATCAGAGTGGCAAAAGTGCTTCGACAATTGGTTCAAACGCATGCAGAAGTATACAGATCTTAATAGGGAATATTTTAAAACAGTAAAACAGTTATCAGTGATTAATATTTATTTTTCTTCTTTAATCCCGAAATATAGAAGGCAACCTACGTAAGCCCTTGATTTGTGCAGTCAACTCAGAAACAAGTGCATTATATTAGCGAAACCCATTTGAGACCACAGAAAAGTCCTAAACTACGACGCCTGCACTTCATTGCTTCGTGTATAGACATGAACAATCTGACATCATTATATTTTAAAATAAATCATTCTATGAATGCTTTTGTCAAGTACCGCTTGATATTTGAATTGCTAATAAGAGATCATTGTATAATCAAGAGGGTATAAGCGATGCGAAGCAGCCCACGAGCTTCGAAGACGAAGGTTGGCAACAAAATGGTGGATCACATAAGTTATCACAATGTAGAGGTACTCTAGATGGATAGCGGTGCCTAAAGGCTCAGTATGTGGCAAATCGGTTTTAAAGATCCCTTTTGGATAGGAATCAGTGGATGGGAACAGACTGAATGCAGTATTGTCGGGTCAAAAGCATCATATGTAATGTGCTACCAGAGCTCGAAAATAGCCTCGTCCAAACGCACTCTGGCATAACCTCGACCAATTTTGGAAGTGACACAAAAGTTCACAAAAAGCCCTATGTTTAAACAACTTTATGGGTTTTCCGCTTCTCTTCATCACTAATGAACTAGTCTCCATCAAAACTTATCCAATATAGGTGCATACGTTTATAGCCCTAGTGTTTTAGGTCTATTTTTCATCATCATAGAGCCTATTCACTTCATATAATCATTCAGGCCTCTCATAGAACTCATCTTGGTCGATAACCGGAATTTGTGGGAGCAATAGAGGAAGGAGACATTGGTTGGAGTAAACACTTTCTATAGGAGGCTAGTACATACATACCCGTCTGCTACTGAAGCTGAAATCAGACGCCAAAAGCTTTATAGGGGGAGGGGGGAAGGCTCGAGAATGGAAATGTTGTAATAGGTAATATATGTGAGAAGAAAATCTGTCAAAGGACAAAGTCTTTGGGCGATGGTCAATCCCACCTAAGGGATGCGCCCCTGCATTCGATTTCCATTCAGAATCGTAGTGCCATAGTGAGCGCGTATGTGGCTTATACAATGGCTTGCAGTGGCCAGCTGATGTGGAAGTCAGTGACTTTATCCTCCCGGACGAGTCTGGTACCAAATAACGGGCCGTGAAGGTAGATGGCTTGTTCAGCCTAAATCGATTATTATCGATTCTTCGGACTTTGATCCGTGACCTGTGTGTGTGATAGTGCGCCACCTACCATTACACCACTTACGCTTAAGAGAATCTAATGAGGCTGCATCAAGGCTAACTTTCGTTTCTGCTGTGCACCTTCAGGTAGATGCATAACATGGAACTCAATCCGCTTACAGCATGCCGACTTTTCTATCTAGTTGCCTCGTCGGGCTCCATGTCCTCAATGTCTCTGTAAATCGAATGCGCAAATAACTTTGTTTTGAGAGTTGAAGTTACGAAAAGCTATAAATAACCAATGAAATAAAGAAGAAATGGCATGTCATCGCAAAATATATTCGCAGGAAGAGAAATGGTCCGATCTACCGTTACGTGGGGTCGCATGTTGTGCTTATCATCATCTCCGAAAAGGAGAAGTAGATCTGGAACCAGGAGAACAGGTGGGAAAGTTTTTTTTTCGGTGTTTTTTTCATTTTTTCAACCTTTCGAACTACTGCTAGAAGCCAAAAGTATGTGGTTCATGCACATAGATCATCTCAACTAAATTGGTCGAGAAATCGGTCGGAGCAATATCACACGGCTCAACCTTAGTAGATTGCCACCAACACTGACATCACATTATCGTAGTTTATGCTATTCACTAACAAGACCATTTGCTTTTGCAACCTGTTTCAATGGTTATCTATGCTAGGGAGGCTCCACCCCCTGCGCAAGCTCCACCCCTTGATAATGTGTCGGGGGAGCGGATTTATTATTTTGAATTCAGGTTGACATACTCGAGGTATTTGGGGGATTCTCCCACGTTTTAAAGAAAAATGGACAAGCTGGATCGGTGCCAAGTTATTTCTTGGAGCTGGTTGACATACCAGGAGACACGCTGGCCGAACAGATCGAGTAAGTAATTAATTTACTCATGCTTAAAAATCGGTTTTGACTTCCTCGAACTTATAGATATCGTCGAATGTGGCATGCAATTGTGGATGAGGTTATACCGACGGATAGTCCTGTTACTCCGTTATCTTCTGGAGAAGAAATTCGTGCCGTTGTACCAATAGTTCGTGATTCGGAAGCAGGAACCAATACCCATACTTCTATGAATGGAAAGTATACCGTTTTCCAGATACCCGATGGTCGACCTGTTTTTGTGATCCCTTTAGCAGACGTAAATGTCTGTGAAGGTGATCGTGTCGTCCTTCGCCCTGAGATCAGTTCAACAACGCCGTTTACTGTCACCTGGCGAGGTCCAGCAGTCGAAGCTGGACGGGCAGAAGTAAAGGTGAAATAAAATTGAAATATGAGATAATAAAAATAGGTATAAATGGCAACTGATAAGAGCTAAAAAAATCGTGAAGTTTTTCACCTCATCAGAGAAATTGAAAGTATTGAGTGCGGGCTCTTTTCCCAAACAGTCGGGATGAGGATCCTTCAGCGCTTCCTAGATCATAGTAGATTTCTTTTTTTCAGAGTGATGGTGAATCTACTAGTCTGATTATCAAGAAGATTACTGCATTGGATTATGGACCATACTCCGTTGTGGCCAAGAACGATTACGGTATTGCTTCGTCAGTGTCAGTGGTCAAGGTGATCACTCATCCAGGTGCAAAAATAGTATGAACAATATTTTTAACAATTCAGCGATTTGAATGATAAAAAGACCATTTATTGGTTGATTTAATTATTTTTTTGATTTATTCATCAATTAAACAATTTGTGCGTCCAATATTTATGCATTGAAAAAATCGAGGGAAATTAACCGAATGAAATGAAGTTTCATTAAATCCAAAGGGTTATTGGATCTCTCAAGGAGTTTGAAGTTGAGGACTTAAGGAGATTCAAGCGGAATCAGTTTAACTCTTCGAAAGCGATGCTGTTTCTGAAAATTAGAGAGTGTTTAATAACCATTTCTCGAAGTAAGCGAAATAGTTGTTGTACTTCCAAAATTATGAAAAATTTTTTCTTCTTAGCTTTAGCCTGAACTCGTGAAAAATGATTGCGAAGGTTCTTTCCAGATCCTCCGGTATCCCTTGTTTGTGAACGTATAGGACGAAATGCATTGCTTTTGACCTGGAATCCGGGTTTCAGGAAAGGACTATACTATGGCGTAGAATTCCAAAGTGAAGGTAAAGTAATCATGTTTTTCGGACTACCGTAATAATCACACTACTATTTCGTTCTTATAGACATGGGACAGTACCGGTGCGTTGCGTCTGCATTGCGAACGACGACAATCTCCTTACGTCATTTCCGACCAGTTCGCTACCGTATCAGGGTATTTTCGTATAATTTCGGTCTACGTAGTCGACCAAGTAAGGAGGTGGAAATCGATTTCAGCAAGCGAATTAGCCTTCTTGTGAGTGATTTTTCACGTATGAATGGTCAATAGAAAATGTGGCCGGTAATCGATAAATCGATTTTGTTGGGAAACACTAGCAATCTACTCGAGACAGTTTTGGTTTGCGCCGTATGTTTGCGTCATTTTCTCGAATTTTGCGAGTGATTGCGAGGCCTTTGGCATGTATTAGCTGCAAAGTAAGGTTGAGACAAGCCGAAGTTCAACTGATTACCTCTTGGTAGGTATACTATTAAAATGGAATATAGGCTCAGACACCTTACTCCAATTTCACTAGTGGTAGAAAGAGAACATTCAAAGTACACATGTTATCGCTTTGATGAAGTAATAATTGTATCGTGAGGTTTCGAGGCAAAAGCTCTGATTCTCAGGAGAATGCCGCTGAGTTGTCGAAATCGGTTGAGTTGGACGAAGTTTGTGGTCGAGGACGATTTTGTACTGCTCACGACGGTACGCTTCTAAAAACTCAGCGAAACGTGTTGGTGAAAATGCTTTTAGCGGAGGTGTCGAAGACTGATGTCGAACGAGAGGTTAGTTTTTTCAAGGAGAGCTCAGTACTCGAAATTTATAGAGCGTATTTTCAGGTCGCTGTCCTGTCTGTAATACACCATTCGAGTATGCCTCGACTGAAGGGTGTCTTCACTTCCGATGGGCGGTACTGTATTGCCATGAAGAAGTTAGTTAATTCCTCAGCTATCGAATACGGTGAAACGAGAGTACTCTTTATTTACTTCCTCATTCAACTATTACTATTTTCGTTTTTCACAATGCCACCATCATGAGCTCCTCTCCGAAAATATCAGCGAGGAACTTCCCCCAACGCTCAGTTTTAGCGAAGCATTACATTGTTCCGACAATGGTACTTTTCAGAATGCCTGGAGTGGGTATCTCCGCCTACGTGGACGAGTTTGTCCATATGCATGATGAAAGTGGTGAACTTGAACGACTACTGCGGCATCTTTCAAGCGATATTCTAGGAGCTCTTAGCTACCTTCATGCCAGAGACATTGTTCATCTTGATGTGAAGGTTTGTTTGCACTAATGGTATTTTCCTAAAAAATACATTTTTGTTTCATAACCTTGGAAATTGTAGCATCTTTTTGAGTTCGCGATGGTTTAGCGGCTACTGTTGCCACACCCATTTTTTTTTTATATTCTTCGGGAACCAAATGACAGGCAGAACCATATTGGTCCTCTTCAGGCCATTTCAGCCTGTTATTTGCTTGAATTGGCTATTAGATGCTAGGAACGATCGCAGGGCATCCACGGCGGTACAGGCCACTTCACTGAGAACAGAAGACAGGCGTTAACGTCAAGCAGGGCGGTTCTACCTCAAGGCATAAGGGAATGCGCTGTACAGGGCAATGCCAAGCTAGGAACGAACGCAAGGCATCCACGGCGGTACAGGCCACTTCACTGAGAACAGAAGACAGGCGTTAACGTCAAGCAGGGCGG